CAGATGACCTGACTGAACATTGTTACATTCTAAATAGTTTATCAGGAGCAGTTATAAAATCTAATGTGACTTCTGTAGCTTTATTATTTAGAAAATAATCTATTGCTCAGACATGTTTGTTGGGAGTTAAATCCAGAACGTTAAACAGTCACATATCCACAACTACGGTGGCCCTGAGGTGTAAATGAACAACATTTGACAAAAAGAATTACATTTGAAAAAAACGGAATTACATTGAGCCGAAGCGGAAGTGGCCAAAGCGGAAGAGGCAGGAATCATATTTGGAAAAATGAATTGCATTGAGCCATACCACCTCACGGCCACCGCAATAAAGCAAAAAAAAAAAACCACCCCCTGCCCCCACCACTTCTGGTTTAGCTTAATGTAATTCCGTTTATTCCAGATGTAATTCTGTTTTTTCAAATGTTGTTCATTTACACCTCAGGGTCACCGTAAGAAAAGACTGAAATATCACAGAACCATATCAAGGTCACTGAAATCTGATGGTCAAGGTCAAAAACCCAAATGTACCAAAAGAACTTTAGGCTCCGGGGAATATTTACTCACGTTTCTGTGTCAGATTATACAACAGGAAGTCTTACAACTGATCCTTCTCTTCCACTGTCGTGTCTACTTAAGGAGCAGAGTTTTCATCTAACCACTCAGAAACTGCAGCTGGGCATCTCTGGTTCTGTAATTTAATCGTTCCTCTTTCGAGGCTGCTCGGGAATCTGCTGCACCGAGAAAATAAAAACAGGCACTGAGTGAATTGCATCATTATATGTTGAGGGTTTTTTTAGGAGACGGTAATAGTTGGCTGGAGGCAAGGGCGTGAAGGCTGCTCTGAACTGATGGACGACCTTGGGGTTATCGGCCTCGCCCGGAGGCCTCCTGAATAAAGATCAACCTCCGAGGACTCAGGATAAATCACCAGGAATAGCCAAAGCAGGAGAATGGAACCATAGGAGAGAAGAAAATGGTTTTTCAGATATGCAGAAGAAATGTATGTACTGCATCATCTCAGGAGGAGTGTGAGAGAGATGAAGAAAAGCTCTCTTCACCTCTTTGATCCGTCCATTTCCTCCACTTGTAATGGAAATCATAAATTTTAATCGTTAAGCCCCCACACACCTGAAGCATATTTATTTGCGCACGTTTCCTCCCATGGTGAAATGTCTTCCCTCTCCGTCCGTTCTGATGCTGAGCGGAGATGATGCAGCTCCGGCTGTAAACTCCACAGGCAGAACGCGTTGCATCGAGTTCCATGATAAAATCATAAGTAACGGGTTGATGACAAAGGCTGGGCCCCCGGTGTAAAACTCCCAAAATGGGGTAATGGTGTGGAAAGTGATCCTGTCCCTGGTTGATGATGTCATCTGTGCTGTGGCAGGCCGCTGTAGGATACAGGTTACGCTCGCTTGTTTACCAGTGGAAATGGATGAAGAAACACGTTGTAGTTCTAACAGATCTTTAACCAGACCAGAACCAGAACCGACAGCTGGATCTTAAGAATCAGAAGTGAATCAAAAGCTCTCAACAACCTAGCTCCTTCTTACAGTTGAGATACTATTGTTCCAGTTTCAGTTTATTCACACACAAAAAGAATCATAAAACATAACTGCAAGACAACAGGTCTCCAAAAAGATATTTAAAGTTTACAGACGGAGCCTGGGTACATATAATAATTACATACAATTTATAACATACTAAAATAACATCACAATAAAAACATCATACAAATTCCACATACAATACAGATTGTGTTCCATATTGTCCTAACAGAGCACTTCGCTGTCAGACTGCAGGTTTACTTTTGGTTCCTAGAGTTTCCAAAAGCAGAATGGGAGGAAGACCTTCCAGTTCTCAGGCTCCTCTCTTGTGGAACCAACTTCCAGTTTGTGTCCGTGAAGCTGACACATTGTCCAGTTTGAAGACTTTCCTTCTTGATAAATCCTATAGTTGTCCTTCTTCCTATAGAAAGTTCACCTGGACCTGTCATTTCTGTGTCTGTTTCTCCTTCCTACCCTCTCAAACTCAGGAGTTTTTCCTTCCCACTGTCTCCTTTGTTCTTGCTCAGGATGAGCGGCTGAGACGAAGTGAAGACTCAACACGACCTGCCGCTTCCTCAGATAAACAACTTTTACCGACTGGTTTCTATCATTTATGTGACTGTTTTAGTTCCGAGCCTTGAGACGACTCCTCCTGTGACCTGGAGCTACAGAAATAAACAGACTTTAATTTATTAGCTGTTCGCGTCTTTGTTTGCGACCCCTCTGTTTGGCGCCGATGATGTCACACGTCAGACTGATCACTAACAGCCAGAGCAACTTTTAAAAAACGTTTTTATTAATAATTGAACGTTAGTGTTTCACATGGGAAACTTTGAAAACAAACAACTTCCATGATTTTGTTTCAAGTTTTCATCTCACCTTTAAAATTCTGGGACTTAAATGTTTGGACGCTGGTGCTACTCGAGCTGCTCTTTGTGACGGACCGGACCGCACCGCACGGCGGGCGGTGCAGGGGGCGGGTCCACTCCTTACCGCTCAGCCGCCACGTGACCCGATAGAAGCGACGACGAGCGGAGAAGAAAGTGTTTTTCTTTCTCCTTTAAATGGAGGAAAAGTTTGTCGTCTGGAAGAGACGTCTCATTAAACCAGGGACAAACGGTCAGGGTGACACTGGTGGACGTGGGAAGAGACGGGTCACACCACTGGACCCGAGCGAGACATTTGGCGGCTGACGGCAGGAAGTTGAATATAATTAGTCCCATTCACTGAAACATCACAGTCATGGAAGCAACTCGAGCTTTTCCAATAAAAACCTGATGATTATGACGAAGCAGAAAGTCACTTTCACTGAAATACCATCGATGTATAATAAAACAAGTTTAAAACATTAATCCTGTAATAAAATGACTGCAGCCCTCGACATTTCTGCTAAATTCTTTATTTTAAACTGTACTGTTCTTTATAAAGGTGTAAGACAAATGGTCTCAATGGAGCCTTTACTACTGGGATAATATTGAGGTGTAATTCTAGAGTGCCTGAGCACAGATTGAACTTTATTATTATAGTTCTAAAAAGATGATTGAACTTTTTCTTACGAGTCTTTCAGTTCTTGAACAATCAAAGACTGCTGGAGCTGCCCGTTCTTATTCTTCTAGCAAAGTGACGATTTTATCCGTTCTTCGTTTTGGGAGAAAAGGAACAAATTGTCACAAAAACAAAGTGTACCTCTGCTGCGTTCTGTGTGTTTTCTAACTTCAGATCATTTCACCTCTGAGGTACTTCAGTACTCCGAGGTAGAGTTAAAATCCTACAAGGAATAAAGTAAAGGTCGACCTTATCTTAAGCATGCAACCAGTTTTGAGAAGACAGTGGCGCTAAAGCACCGCTCCTCCCATCGGTCAGTGGTGACAGCTAATTTAAGAACCGATTATATGATGGAGAAACTCCGACACTCCGTCAGCAGCTCGTTGCAAGACGCACTAATTACTGGGCTCATGATGCTGAGGTCGATACCTCGCTCCCAGCGCCGCAGCCTGGGAGGTTTATCTGTTCTCCAACAGACGAAGTGGGGCTCACAGGCAGGAAGAGGAGAAGATAAGAGAGAAAAGGAGGAGATAATTAAGAGTCAACGTTTCTCCTGACCCGTGCCACACAGACCGCTGTAATAAATAACTGCAAGGATAAGGACTTGAACGTTCTCTGTTCTGAAGCTCCAATTTTTGGAAAACAACTAAAATACACACAAACGTCTACAAATACAAGAGAATACATAATGATCAGACATATTAAATAAAAATAAATGCATATATTAAAAAGTTAAACACTCGGATGTCCCTCATCGCTGAAGGATTTGAACAGTGAATGTTTTTATTTTTTAGAGATGAGTGTTTTTCTGGACTGGAGTTGAACAGGAAATGTAAGTAAACCTAAATGTTTTTGGTTCAGTATATTTACGTGGATAAGAGTAACGCTGGAGAACAACAGAGGGGTTTGTTTTATCTTGACCGAGGCGGCGCAGAGTGACGGATCCTGGAGAGTGGAGGGAGACATTTTATCCACAACTAGGTGCAGTGGTGGAGCCAGGGGGTGGCCAGTGGTGGCTAGGCCTGTCACGATAACAAATTTTGCTG